GGCTATGTCCATTGACTGTATTAAATAACTTCTCCGCCCTGTTCTTCCTGCTATTGGACAATGGTTTAAAATAACCTGGTGAACCTGGATTTTTAGAAACTTTAGAAATGGATTAAAAATAACCTGAGAGTAGAAAAATACTGCAAGAGTCACGTGATGGCCAGCTGTCGAGCAGCTGAAGGCCTGTTTGTAAAGATAGAAGCGCTGTGTCACTACAAAAAAAAAAAACAACAACAAACAAACAAAAAAAAAACAAATAAATAAATAAAAATCCAGAACCTGCCAATCTACAAACTACTTTTTGTTTAGGTGTCAGGTGTGAAGGAAATAATCCAGAGATACACAAACAAGCAATTTACAGTCCCTAAAACACTACAGGAAAAAAAGCATACTGAGAATGTGACTGTAAGGGTCGGGGTTGAAGGTTGATGTCCTGGGGCAGTGGATGAGGAAGTGACACTACAAACGGAATCTCTGGGCCCAGCTTTATCAGTATGCAGGGTGGTCTTGTGCTGAGGGGGGAAAGAAGCCCAAAGAGCCTCACCTGGGGATCCACTGCGGGTCAGGGGTTGACAGAGGTCAGAGACTCTGACCATAGAGTTCATCAGAAAACATCAAATCATGATGTGAAAGAGTGTGTATGTACAGTTATTTATAACGTCCAACCTGAGGATATGGTACTCTATTACCTCAGCAAATCCCTTAAGAGAGACAGTGTGATTCGTTGTGCAATATTTGTTAAAAGGTGATTTTTTTGCTTTTTGGTTGTTTTATTTTTTTATGGTATTTATATTAAAAAAGTCAAAGGAAACTATTAAAAAGTGAAACTATTTGAGACAAGATTTTTACTTGGCTAAGTTGACCAAAAAGTTTGAGACATTTTGAAGGACTTTCAGTGTCTTTCATTGTGCAAAAAAAAGACAAAAAAATAGACAAAAAAAACCAAAAAAAAAAACAAGTACAACAGAATACAAAACCTACAAAAGCAAGCAAAATAAAACAAACAATAAAGAATGAACAAAATATTCATTCATTCATTTTCCCTCGACTTAGTTTTTTATTTATTAGGTTTGCCACAGCAGAGTGAACCACCAACTATTGCAGCATATGTTTTACACAGTGGATGTCCTTCCAACTGCAACCCAGACTGGGAAAAAAACAAAGTTGACTCAAAATTTTAAGGCAACAAACTTCAGGACATTTTTTGAGTTGACTCGACTTTCAACCCAATTACTGCACTTGATTTGATTTAAGTTGAGCAAACTCCAAAATGTCATCAAGTTTACTGCCTTAAGTTGAGCCAACTTTTATTTTAAGTGCAATAGCCATATTTACACACACTCATACGATATGGCCATCTTTGTTTTTCAAATTAACCTATAGCGCATGTCTTTGGACTGTGGGATAAACTGGAGCACCCGGAGGAAACCCACACAAACATGAGGAGAACATGCAAACTCCACAAAGAAATGCCAACTGGCCCAGCCGGAACTCAAACCATTGATCTTCTTGCTGTGAGGTGACAGTACTAACCACTAAGTCACCGTGCCACCCATGAACAAAACAAACACTAAAAAGCAAAAAAACAATAAGTCAAACAAAACACTAAATTAACAAATAAAAAATAATAATAAAATATATAAATAATAATAATAATAGCAAAAGTTTTTTAACTATGTTCCACAAATGAAAGCAAGTTTATGTGTAAATGACACACCAAATATAAACAACACTAAAAGATATATTTGCCAAAGCAAACAACAACTTCAACAAGAAAAGAGCTACATCTGTTCAAATAAACCACATAAATTATCAAAAGTTCAAACAAACACTGACTAAAACACAACTTGCAAAAAAAAACAAAAACAGGGGGCTCTGATAACACGTTCCTTTCATTTCCCTCTTCTTGACTTTCCTTTAACTCGACAAGCACACTGAAGCAAACTTCAGCCCAGGGTTCAATCTAATTAGTGTGGTTTGTTAATTAAATGAGTGCGCCACTAACGAGGTAACCTGCTGTTCCTTGATAATGTTAATTACCCTGAAGGGAAAACCTCTCAACACGGTCATTTAAACTGTCAGCCAGCATTCCTCCTGGATTATTGATGATTTGCAAAACTCTGGGCGGCTCTTGCGCACTCGCTCGTTCACTTACACTCTTCTACGTTTCACCTCCGCGCTCGTATTGACTGCGTCCGCCCCTCTTTTCCTGCTCATGATTAGGGGTTGCCTCATTCGTCTTCCTCTCTCCTCCGTCTCCAGCAGATTCAGGTTAAATAAAAAGCACACTCTAATCTGTGCCTGGGTGCCAGTCTGTGTTAGTCTCACAACTGTAGTAAGTGCATGTTACATGACTGCGATATTAAAGTTGGACTGTGGTATAAACATGTGAGCGTGTCTTGTCATATTTGACGGGTGTGCTAAAGCAGGCAGTTATCGCCAATGGCCCAATTTAACATGGCAGGCACGAAGACTGTATTTCTTACTGACAGTAAGAAACACCTAGACAAAACATCACCAAGATGTATGCGTGTTTTGGGTTTATATAGTGTAAAGAATGAATGCTTATACATAATACCTGATGCATAATATGAATAACAAATCAAATATGTTGAATGTATGAATACGTATCTAATAACTTGAATGTGTTATAACTTTTGGACTCTTCAACTTTTTATTAATAAATCATTTATTTATATATATATATATATATATATATATATATATATATATATAGATATATATATATATTTGTATGATAAAAATGTAAATATTTTGTGCGTCATTTAACGCGGTCTAAAATACTTTTTGTAGGTTTTTAAATTCATGCAATGTAGATTTCAACATACATTACGAATGTATAGACAAACACACACACACACAACTTGCTAATGATACTCATAAGTTATATAAGAGAGGGAAAAAAATGTACTTGAGCTCTTTATACAACTCTATTCCCAAGAATTCTGCTCGAGACCCAGAGTGTGTATGTGTGTGTGTGACCAGGTGCTAGAGGAACGTGCACTCAAGCTAACCTCCTGTCCAATGAGAAATGAAGTTTGGGTTTAAAGTAGTGCCATTGTTCAGCTCTTGTCTACAAAGAGCCGCATTCACAACTCTACTCTTTAATATAGTACAGATGGGGGATGGGAGACAAGCAGAATCAGATAGTAAAGGACTTTATTGATAAAGATCTGAGAAAGTAAGACATGATGACAAATAGGGCTGAAAGGAAAAAACTTAAAAATGAAGAAAAATATTTTACTAAATTACAGATGAAACTATAAACTTTTTAAGGAGACTTTATATATATATATATATATATATATATATATATATATATATATATATATATATATATATATATATATATATAATGTTTACTATAGAGTGACTACTATATTTTTCCTACACTGTAAAACCCAAAAAGTTAAGGTAACTCAAACCATTTGAGGAAATTGATTGCAACAATTTAAGTTCAAAAACTAATTCCAGTGAGTACTGTGAACATAATCCATTTAAGTAAAATAAGCAATTTGAGCACAGTAAAACCCAATAAATGAAGAGAACTCAAACTGAGTACTGTAAAACCCAATATGTAAAGGCAACTCAACCCGTTTAAGGAAACCGATTGCTACAAACCATTTGAGTTAAAAAACTAATCTATATGAGTACTGTGAACTTACTCCATTTAAGCTGAAGTAATGAGGTATTTAATTAACACATTAACTTCAACACTGAGTTCAAAACTCTTTTCAAATTAGTAGAATTAACTTTCAGTCAATTTTGAGTTAACTACACTCATTTCATTTGATAAAGTTGACTATTGGGTTTTACAGGGTAACATTTTAGAATTTAGATTTTAGAAATGTTGTGACTTTTAGAAAATTTCTAGAAATAGTTTTTAGTTTGTCATTATTTTTTTTACCTGTGTCTAGAGTTTTAATTTAATTTTATTTTATTAATATTCTTTTTATTATTTTAGAAAGCTGGAATAACAATAAATAAAAAAGGAAAAAGATTTTCTTGGCAACAGGCTGAAATTAAATATTAAACAATATTTTTAAGTTAATTAGTGTTTTTCCAAAACAGTTATTTGAGTTTTAGGGTTTAAGGTTACTATAAGAACCCTGAAATGCACCAATGCAAAGCAATCACTGAATTTGAATTTTAAACTGAATAATTAAAACAAACTAATTGAAATGATTGTAGAAGATGAACAGACAAAACTGAATTTAGAAACTTTTAATGAATAAGTTAAACTTTAATTAGGAAATTTTATAATAATAACTTTTTTAAACAAGGTAAGAAGTAAGGATGAACAGTGAAACAAGTCCAATAATTCATCCAAACTAAATGCGATTAAAAAACACAATCTGAATGATAATAAAACCTCCAACCCTAATACTAAAGGAAAATAATAGCCCCTTTCACAAAGTGATATCGGTAAATATCCGGAAAAATTATCGGAACAACTTCACTGGTAAATTCATCAAAGCGCTGTTCACACAAGCAAGAACGTTCCGGAATTTTTCTGCTAAGGAGGGTTTACACATTCATTCCAAAATACCAGTAAATTCTGGTATTTCTAATTGTGAGCGCATTCTTTCCGGCAATTTTCCTTCCGCGTTCACACATCTCAGCATTCCAGCAAATTACCGATAATATTACAACTTCTTTTTACCGAAAATTGCCGGAACAAATTTACCGGTATTTTCAAAAAAATAATTTTCCGGGAATGTCTGCATGTGTAAAAGGGGCTAATGTTTGATTTAATTCAGCATTAGGGTTAATGGCTATATTATCATAATTTTTTATTTTTACTTTTTTTATCCCACGGACATGGAATGGACAAAGATTTGAATTATGCGTGCATATTCTCAGCTCTTATGGCTACAATACCCCCCAGAAAATATATCCTATGTGTGGACGTGTGTGTGTGTGTGTGTGTGTGTGTGTGTGTGTGTGTGTTTGTTTGTGTGTGTGTGTGACAGTGGTACCTGCACAGGGCTCTGTTTGACCTCGTTGCTGCTGGGAGAGTTGAGTCCTGTGGCCTGCTGGAGGATGAACTGGCGTGCTGCCTGGAGGGCCTGTGGACACGAGAAACAGAGACAACACAGCGGTGAGTACCACACATATACACACACACCTTTGCACTCTGCTTACATTTCCTCAAAATCACAGGAGGGATACACTTAGCACTGCACGGTGGGCCCCACCTGTTTGCCAACCTGAGTGTGTGGGGCCCCTCCTTTTACAGGGCCAGAAAAGACTGAGCGAGGGAAAAGGCTAGTCTGTAACTTGAACAACCTCTCCTTCCTCAGATCTTCTGTACAGATCATGTGGCGATGGTTTGCTACCCTATGAACATGCGACTCTGGTATATATTCAGAAAATATTTTTACACAGGATCTTTGGTCTAATGGCATAATGTGCCTCTCAAAACAAAAACACCAGGCAACAGTAAATCAGTGGGCAAACAGCTTTTTGAAGAGCGCCATCAGGATGCACATTTGCTTCCTGGCCCTGAAGAGAGAGAGGAAGGTTACATAGTAAATATTGATTTATGAAAAGATGGAGGGGGTGAGAAGCCCTCTTTAAAAAAAAAAGAAAGAAAAAGACCTGACACCAAACATAAATCCTCAGAGTTGTACTCTGGTGCACACGCTAACCGAAAAACTGTAAATTCCACAAGTTTTAGACATTTTAAGGCGGCTTTAATGCTTCAGCCAGCTGTAAAATCACATTCACTGTTATTAAAGGAATAGTTTACCATTGTGATCATTTATTTCAATCTTGAGTTGGAATATAGTCGCATTGATGTAGCATAGATGTGGTAGATACAACTCAAGCAATAAATTCAAAGTCTTTTAAAGTCACGCAACAGCTTTTTGTGCTGAACAAATACAACATTTTGTCCCATAGAAAAATCACCCCTTTTACTGCAATTTCTGAGGTTATTCTGAGTGATAGTCTTACTGAGATGAACCAAGCTTTACAATGATAAAAGCTTTTAATAGATTTTAATATTGGTGTAACGGATCACAAATCTTATAAAATGAACAAATAATCAGCTGAATAACAATAAATTGTAAAATATTCAGTACTGTAAACAGTTCACTGTTGTTGTTGATGCTAAATATATAAATCTATATTAATAAATATACAGCCCATATTTATTTATAGTCTTATTTTAAAAAAATGATTCAGTTATTCACTCATGAAAGGTCAAGTTTCATTGCTAGATGTATCAATTTTGAAGAAATATTCGAAGACATATTTTTGACATCTGGTTTACATCACCTATTGGTTATATAATAAAATTGCTGCCTACAACTTTCATTTTTGATGATTTTCATCATATGATGGTGATTTTAATCTTTACCATAAACATCAGTGGGTTTTATTTAAACTTTGAACTGTAATCTCAGTATTTATGTGTTATTTGACTGTTTGTAACTTCATCATAACTAACTCAAAAGACTAAAGACTAAATCCTTTAAGATTAAAAAACATATGCAAATCACCGTCATTTATAATTTGTTACTTGGGTGTTCAGATCCCGATCTTTTAATGATTAATCATGCAGCTTACACTGAATGCATTAATGCAGGTTTTATGATTAGGCAATTGTAACAAATATAGGATTAATCTACAAGAAAAAAACTATGTATTAATCTGCATTACTCACATGTGTTCCAAACTGTGGGTTGTGATACGTACGAATCATGGATCAACCATAATCTGTTACACCCCTATATTTCAAATATATGTAGCAAAATAATTTAAATTGTCTATTTATTACAACAACAACAGCTAAAAAAGAACCAAACCATTAAAAAAAATAGCTAATAATGTACACAATGTTAAAGAATCAATGACATTTGGTGTCAAATCTATGAACATAAGAGATATTTAAAGTAATTGTAATGCGGTGAAGAGCTTCTTCACTTTATTTTCTGTTATCGTCACTCACAAAAAAAAAAAAAAAACTTGATAGATATTAAGAAGCGAGTTGCACAGGAGACAGAAGGAAGACAGAATATTAATTTTTGCGTGAACCTTCCCTTTAAAACATGGTCATTTAGCACTGATCTGATATCAGTAATAGACTTTTAGCACTAATAGCCATTATATCAATTGCAGAAGTACTTACTGGCTAAATGTGTGGGAGGGTGTATTTCAAAGCCTAGTCCAGGACCCTCAAAATAAATGGTGCCAATCCATTTAAGAGAGATACACCTCTGTCTTTTTTATTAGAGAGGGGGTGGTGGAAGAGAGGGGGCCAAAAAAGGCGAGAGGCCCCCTATACAATCCGCACATGAGAGAGAGAGAGAGATAGAGAGAAAGAGAGAGAGAGAAAATGCAGTGGTTGGTGTGATGAAAACCATCTGCATCAAGAGCACTTGCTACTTCTGCTGAGGTCGCAATTGAGCAGCGTGCACACACACACACACACACACACACACACACACACACGTTCATGAATGCACACACATGCTGTGCAGGAACCCCCCCTTCCCAACCTCATCCCATCTGCACACATGACCTCAGCGGAGGGCTGGATAAGCTAAAGTGACCGGCAGCACCTCCCAGCCACGACTAGCTCTGAGACTACACACACTCTACTGATGGCATGTGGTGTGAATTACTTCTTGCAGAGGCACACACACACACACACACACACACACACACACACACACACACACACACACACACACACACACACACACACACACACACACACACACACACACACACACACACACACACACACACACACACACACACACACACACACACACACAACCAGAAAGAACTTGGACCAGATGGTTGTCTGGCAACAATGATCAACAATTGGACAAAACTGCTGCACTGATTACCACTTTATTAAACTCTTCTTTGATTTTCGTAAACGCCACAATTATTTGGATTATATGGTAGCTGTTTAGCGCACACATTGAATCCAAAGTAATTTACAGTGAACTAATTTAATGCATAACGCCTTCTGGAACAAGCAGAGGTTAAGTGCTTTGCTCAGGGGTGCAATGGTGATAGATTGTGATATTGGTAATATGGCAGTGACTGGGTCACCCCTAAATAGGACCACCCCTACATTTGTGCCTCTAAACTATTAGGCTAAAGATCCATCTTATACCCACCGTTCTAGGACTGTTTGCCTACAATAAATAGCTGTGATGTATGATCTTTTATTTGCCCTCAATAACTTAGTCCATATATTTGTTTTCCCCAGAAAATTCCAAAAATCTTTTTTTTCCCATACAATGAAAAGCACAATAAAAGACAATAATCATAAAAAGGAAGAGCAGAGCATCATAACAATAACTGAAAAAAAATACAAAGAGCATTTATGTGAAAACCACATAAACAACACAAAACATGTCCATGGAATGCAATTTATCAAATGGCTTTAGAAGGCTTGAACTTTAGTACACATAGTATAACTTTTTTATATATATAAAAATCACTTTATGGAAGTTTTGTGGTGTTTGTGAAACATAAGCCCAGACATTTTACTGAACATCTTATTTCAGTCGAAAAGAAGAAGTTAAAAGAAAAACTGAAAGTCATTGGGCCCTATCATACACCTGGCAATAAGGTACAAGAGGTTTTTGGTGTGATTTTATGCTATTTTCAGACCAGTCAACCCTAATTTTTACATTTTGCACCACGTTGTTTAAATATTAAATCCATTTTTGCCACTTTGTGGGTGTTATGGTCTAAAAAGGAGGTGTGTTAAGGCGCAATGTTGGTGCGTTGCTATTTTGAGGAAATGAAATAGACTGCACCATTGACCAACTAAAAACTGCTGTAAAATTCAGCGCAGAGTGCGTTAGTTATACACATTGCTTAATGAAAACTTTGCTACATATGAATAAAATTAAATAATTAAAATTTTACAAAAATTATTTTTCACATAAATATAAAAAAAACACTACAACTTTTTTAGTTTAATTATGACAATTTGCATTTGTATTATGTTATTATTATTATTATTAGTATTATTTACTACATAAATATTTATATTTGTTTTAATAAAAAAAAGTTTAGATTTGTCCATTTGGGTTTAAGAATAGGACGTGTGTTTGGATATAACCACACTTTTTGACCACACTTCGTTATTATTGTTCATTTATTTGTTTGCTGGAAATTAGAACAGAATATAGAAATAGTTTTGAAATAAACATTTGCTCTTAAGAAACTAAATTAAATCTGTAGGCTAATGGATGTCTTTAGGGTAGTTTGTACAACACCGTTTCCTTATCCACAAAAGTAAAGAGCAAAGTAAAGAGTAAAAGTAAAGTAAAGAGTAAGTAAAGAGGCCGAATGGAGGATGCTTGTTCTTTATCCTCGCACTGCAAATGGTTTGACTGTTTTCTCACTAGTGAAGCATTCAGTTTTTTCTTTTACAAAGTCAACCATGTAAATAGCAAATTCTCCATGGTGCGATGAGAGATGAGACTCTGATTGGTTTAATGCACAATATGCTCAAAACACACCCATAACTAATAAGTACAATAATAAGTACAAACCCGTTAGACTATGCGTCAAGGCGTAGAAAAAAAATTTCCGTTCCTAAAATAGCAAAAGTGAATTCAGAAACACCTTAATGCTTATGCAAAATGCACTTTATACTTTGCGCCTAGATTGCTAAAATAGAGCCAATAATGGGTGAGCAACCTACACAAATTATAAGACTTGGAATGAAGCACACAAGGTGCATGGAAAATTATTATAATTGTTTAAATATTTTTGTAAGCTTTTCGTTGGGATGGGACATTGCTTTAAGGAGAACAGCGTAAAACCTAGTGAGGAACAAGTGGTCAGCACGCCTGGTCTTAATCATAATGCACTGAGATTAGCAGTGGGACCGGAGGCTGGCGGCAGTGAACAGGCCCAAAATGAGAGCGACTGGGGCTGCGAGTCTCTCTGAGCAACAGGGGAGAGGCTCCGTTCTGTGGCTGGAGAATCTATTGAGTCTGACTTGCCAATTTTATTGCTTTCACGAACAGTGGAGGTTAAAAAAAGATTTGGAGTACAAACGGGGAAAAATGCTTTATAACTTCCA